CTCACTCCAACGTCCATCTGTAGCTCTTGCAACGAGGCCTGCCCATCTCCATTTTAATTTACATGCTAACTCTGCAGCATCTATAACTTTTGTGGTTTTCTTATTTCTTTATTTTTTTGTCTATCTCGTAATTTAATACCTAACATGTTTATAGTTTATAGAATGAAACCACGATTTCACGAGTAAATTAAAGGCGTTCGAAGAACCGTGCCGCGTGCAACGAGTGTATGTGCGCAACTGCCCGCCGAAGGAATGATTTCCGATAATGTACTTGTAGGTGCAGCGGTTGTTCGAGAGCGCTTCTTACTTAATTTATTTCTAACATGACGGCACACAAGAATCAAACAATATACATAATATATAAATAGCATTAGAGAACAAATTGTCACATAATAAATAAATATTTTATAATGCGTCGCTTACAATTTCTGCCTCCTTAGTTCTAACTAGTTAGCACTACAATCCCGTGGTGACAACAGAGCGACGCGCGTTACCGGTTTCCGCAGCACACCCGTACGTGTGCGAACATCTACTATACGAACGCGTCCGTCACTGGCTGTATGGGTCGCACTCACTACCCCGTGTCGCCAGCAATTGCGATCAGCATTCGGTTCTACAATAATGACATAATCACCTACCTGTAGGGACTTCGATTCTTGTGTCCACTTTTGATGAGGGAGCAGAGTTGACAAATATTCTTTTAGCCAGCGAGACTAAAACATATCTGCTAGTCTTTGTGCCACGCGCCAGCGCTTTCTTAAGCAAAGATCAAAATCGCCAAACTTAACAAATTGTGGGCTTGTCGATGATGCACCAATCAGAAAGTGATTTGGGCGTGAGTGCTTCTGGGTAATTTGGGTCATTGGAGACATGCGTAATTGGTCGACTATTAACTGTCGCCTCCACCTCAGCTAATAACAACATCATCATCATCATTACAGCCCTTCACAATTCCACTGCTGAACATAGGCCTCCCCCAAGCAATGCCACAAAGCACGGTCCTGAGCCACCCGCATCCATCGACTTCCTGCATGTCTTACCAGGTCGTCACTCCAATTAGGGGGGGGGGGTCGCCCTACACTACGCCTACCGGTACGAGGCTGCCACTCGAGAACCTTTCTTCCCCATCGGTTATCGGTTCTTCGAGCTATATGGCCGGCCCATTGCCACTTCAGCTTACTAATCCGTTGGGCTATGTCGGTCACTCTGGTTTTACTGCGGATATCCTCATTTCTGAGTCTATCACGCAGAGAAACTCCGAGCATAGCCCTCTCCATAGCTCGCTGAGCGACATTGAGCGTCCTCATACGGCCAGCAGTGAAGGACCACGTTTCCGATCCGTAAGTCATCACTGGCAACACGCACTGGTTGTACACTTTAGTTTTCAGAGATTGAGGTATACCTGACGAGAAGATGTGTCGTAATTTCCCGAACGCTGCCCAGCCGAGTAGAATCCGTCGATTGACCTCTCGGTCGAAGTTGGACTTACCTAGTCGGACTATTTGTCCCAGGTAAACGTACTCGTCAACAACTTCGAGCATAGTGCTCCCAACAACTACCGGCATAGATGTGACATGGACATTAAACATGATCTTTATTTTGTCCATGTTCATCTTAAGATCTATCCGTTGGGAGACACCATTGAGGTCATTGAGCACAGTGCTAAGGTCCTTCAGGGATTCTGCCATAAGGACTATATCATCGGTGTCCATCGGTGTCGGTACCAAATCGAAGGTGAGTGATGTACTCGCCACTGATGTTAATACCGTATCCTTTCCAGTCCAGTAGCTTGAAAACGTCTTCCAACGCAGCGGTGAAGAGTTTCGGGGATATAACGTCACCCTGTCTTACACCTCTCTGCAGTTGGATAGGATTCGAACTCTGGTTCTGTACTCGGATAGCCATCGTAGCCCTACTGTACAAACACTTCAGCACTTCGATATACCGACAGTCAACTTGACACCGCTGAAGAGACTGTAGCACCGCCCAAATTTCGACGGAATCAAAGGCTTTCTCATAGTCCACATACGCCAGGCAAAGTGGCAGATTGTACTCTTCGGTCTTCTGTACAATCTGCCGCAGGGTATGTATGTGGTCTATGGTACTGAAGCCTTTTCGGAAACCGGCTTGTTCGGGAGTCTGGAAGTCGTCGAGTCTGCGTGCGAGACGATTCGTAATGACTCTCGAAAACAGAAAACGTAGACGCGGCTCAGAAGGGAAATCGGTCTGTAGTTCTTCAAGAGAGCGTTGTCGCCTTTCTTAAAGAACAAGACCACCGCACTTCTGCTCCACGCCTCCGGAGTAGTGCCACAATGGAGGACGGAATTGAAGAGCTTTTGAAGGACTTCAAGTACCGGTGTTCCACCCGCTTTCAGAAGCTCCGCTGTAATTCCATCCTCGCCTAGGGCCCTGCCGTTTTTAAGGTGCTGAAGAGCCATTCTAATCTCGCTCGGACTGACGTCCGGGATATCATCGGAATAGTGTCGGGTAAGACTTGCTCTTGGATCGTTACTCACACTTGCGTGTGGCTCCAACGATGATATGTACAGCTGCCCATAGAACCTCTCAGTCTCACTTAAAATCTCAGGTGTCTCCGAAACGATGCTGCCGCACTCAGTCTTCAGCTTTGACAGTTGGCTCTTTCTGGCAGACAGATCTCTGGCAAAGACTTTGGAGCCCTGGTTCCGCTCGATCGCTTCTTTAATACGAGCAGTATTAAAGTTGCGTAAGTCTCGCCACATGCATTTGGTGATCTGTCTGTTCAGTTGCCTGTATGCTATCAAATCTGTTGACGATTGCAGCCTCATCTCCTGTCTAACAGCCATGAGATTAAGAGTGTGATCAGAGAGTTTTTGTGTTCTTCTGCGGCGGGTCTTGCAGAACTTAACTCCAACCGCATGGACAGTTTCCACGAGCTTGTCATTCGTATCGTCCACTGCATTGCAATCTCTATCTTCTAGGCACTGAAAGCGGTTACGTAACTCGAGCTGAAAAGTCTCGGGATTCTGGATCAGAGCACGAGGGGGACGGAGCGTTGACTTCATTAGACGAGACCTCGCCAACATAACGTTAAGGTTCAGTGTGCCTCTAACCATTCGGTGATCGCTGCCGGTTTTCACCCTTGCGATCACTGAGACATCACTGAACAGTTGGCGTCTGGTCGTCATAATGAAGTCAATCTCATTTTTTGTCGAACCGTCGGAGCTCGACCAGGTCCACTTCCTGTGGGGCCGCTTCTGGAAGAAAGAGTTCATCATAAAGAGTCCCTCTTTCTCCATAAAGTCAGCCAGCTGCTGGCCCCTACGGTTCCGTTGCCCTACTCCAAATTTCCCTAACTTCAGCTCACCGCCTTCTCTTGTGCCTAGTTTTGCGTTGAAGTCTCCCATCAACACCGTGTAGTGGGTTTTGGAGGAATGCATGGCTCTAGAAATATCGTCATTCATTTCCTCCACCTCCTCATCGGGATGTGCCGAGGTTGGTGCGTAGACCTGTATGACCTTCAGCGAATACCCTTCGGTGATTCTGAGTATCAGGTACGCGACCCTCGTCGACACACTCCCAATCTTTACAACGTTGTTGACGAGAGACTTGTGGACGATTAATCCGACACCTCCTTGGGACAGATGGTCGCCCTCCCGGTGATAGAACAAGTTGCCGGACTCGAGGATTACCGTGTCCTCCCCCTCTCTTCGGACCTCAGATAATGCAATAATATGCCAGCGCAACTTGTCTACCTCTTCTTCCAGCTCCAGTATCTTCTCGTCAGTCCTCAGGGTGCGTGCGTTATACGTTGCTAGGTCGAGTCGTCGTAGGTGGCAACCGAACCTCCACCGGAGATTCTTAGCACCCCCTGCCCCGCCGTTACCATAGTCGCCACCGTAGCCAGGAATAGCGGGGCCGCCGGGGACTGGGGGCCGTTTATTTGCGTCGTTGCTCATGGGGGATATTTGTCATAGTTGCCACTCTTGGCGAGCGGGTTGGCAACCGCAGTTTTTTATTATGTTATTGTTGTTATTAGGAAGATGCTGCTGCCCATCTCCTTTTTGTGTCCCTCTGTCGCCTCTTACGACACACACGGGAAGACATGGGGTAGTGGATATTCTCAACCGCCACTACACGGTCAGCTAATAACGTCATCAGTGTATCAGGATGAGGGGCGCGTTCTTTTAAAATTACATTTAGTGACGATTTGACTGTACGTATCATCCTCTCCCAATATTCCCCCATCTCAGGGGCACCTGGTGGAATAAATCTCCATTCCGCGCCTCGTATAGCTCCAGCCTCGCGAACTGCCTCCGTGTCTAGCTTGGATATGCTTTTCTTCAGCTCTGCGTCTGCGCCCTTCAGGTTCTTGCCGTTATCGGAAATAATTACTAATGGCATACCACGACGAGCTGCCATGCGTCTTAATGCCATTATTGTGGAATCGGCCGTAAGGTCAAGGTCAAGTAGACCTTCCTCTCGACCCTGGTGAAGCAATTGATTTGGAAGAGCGAGTGCATTGTCCAAGGCTTTCACGTGCCACGTCAGCCATCTTGTTTTGAGGCAACAGGGAACCGCACATATAATTCACCTAGTAACATCGCGCATAATTGGGTCAAGGCCCGACCTCTGAATCGAACTCGGGAACCCCTAGGCCCGCTCGCTCAACCAGTTCTTTTTCACAAATATCGACATATCACGATTAAAAATATCGGCGATATGTCGATAATTTTATGAAGAAACGTGGATATTTCAATATACCGATATTTTTTGCCCAAGCCTATTTTTATTTGCAAGCCTATTTTTCTCTCGTCCGCTCCATAGATAAATAAATATGTAGCAAGCTAGTCCGCTCGTCCCGCCGAAATTAATGTAAAAATATCACACAACGTATGCAATAGTATTAGAAATAAACCCTTTGTTTTATAATAATATGGTTTATAAAATAAGTGCTTAAATTTAAAAAAAAATATTCGTTCTTGGTGTTTTCCTGTGTAATATAATTAAAACAATAAAACATGAATTCGCCTAAAGTAAATTGTTCACCTTCATATAAACATGTAAGAGCTAAGCAAAAACAGTCGCCAATAGCTTTAAAGGAGAAAATAAGAAAGGTTTGTAAAATTTATGTATTATTTTTATTTGTTAACTCCAGTAATATTTACACAATAGTTAAGATTTACTTGAATGAGCTAACGCAAGAGAGCCAAATCACTAGTAAACACAAGAGTCAGGCACTAATTCTTGCCAATAGACCGCAGCTAAGGCTTATTGAAATCTTTAATGCTAACCACAGAGATATAAATACAATAATTAATTCAGATTTAACTATTAATTTTTAGGACTATAAAGATAAGGTGCAAAGTTGCCGCAACATTCTTCTTAATAAACTTCGTGGAACTGTGGCCGAATCAGAAATTCGGGATACATTGACAAAAATATATAAAAACATGTTTAATTTTCCCCCACTTGGTGATATTGATGAAGAAGAAAACGATGTACTTGAAGAAATAAAAAATGAACTTATAGAAGAACAAATTCAGTGGTTTGTAAAACAAATATTTTTGTATTTTTAATTCATCATTCTGCACTAGTATAATGAAATAGTTTTATTATTATTATCTACACTCACTGGCATGGAAACTTGGCCATTCGTGAATTTGCTCATTATTTGCACTGAAATGTTTTTTTAACAGTAAATTAAGGGTAGATAGATTCTATAAGTCTGATGGTTTTAGAATGTAGAAATTTAATGTTTACTCCACCAAAATTTTTCTTTACAAAATAATATATTTTCACTAAAATTAACATCTTTCCACTATCCCATTAAAAATGCTACAAAGTTAAAACTTAAGTCTGTTTCTTTTGTCTATCAGTTTTAATATCGGGTGTTTCCTCCTCTAGCCACGATAACCGCCTACATTCAATCTGGCATGCTTTGAATGATGTTTCTGACATCAACTTGCGATATGCTGTCCCAAGTGGCCAGCACTGCATTTTGGAGCTCATTTAGAGTTTTTGGTGGTTTAGACTTTATCTTTCTTTCGAGCATGCCCCACACATGCTCAATTGGATTTAAGTCCGGGCTACAAGCTGGCCACTGTAATTTTTGTATTCCAACCTCTTCCAGATATTCCTCTACACAATGTGTGACATGTGGGCGTGTATTATCTTGCACGAGGAGGAATTGGTTGTGTCCAATGAACCCCGAATAACGCATTATGTGCTTTTGAGAACTATCTATAGTATCAAGTAGCTGTAAGCCAATTATCAACGATGACCAACTCTGTAAGTGTGTTGGAACTTACACCTCCTCATAGCATTATTGAGCCTCCAAGGATACTCACAATTTACATGGTAGTAATGGGTAGAAACCTGTCCTCTTTTTCTCCATACTCGTTCTCGACCGTCTGGAGCACTTAAAGCTATTCAACACTCATCTGTAAACAATACTCTAGCCCATTGCTCGTGGGTCCGATCGTCATGTTCTCTTTCAAATTGAAGTCAGGTTACTTGGTGATGTCTGAGAAGTGCTGGTCTACGAGCTTTTAAATTCACTACCTCCATTTGTCTTCTCACTGTATGCTCACTAACATTAATGCCTCTTGCAATTTTTCAGTAAAATATAATAATATATGCCAGCTGGTGGATTTTCTCTTAAAGCCCTGTTTTTGGACTTAAAAGGCAGTTGATGATGTGAATGCAGTCACATTCAGTGAAAGTTTTTAAGTGATGATGTTGTTTAAATTAAATTATATATTTTGAATTATAGGTGGTTGAAAGAATATGAAAAATCGCAAATGGATGATATCGATTGGTCAACATTGCAACAAGAAAATGTTATTTGCCCAGTATGCCAAAAAACAAATTTTAAGTACGAAGATGACATGATTTCATGTTCCACTTGTAATATAAAAATTAAATCTCAAAACTGCCTATTAAAAATTAAACAAAACATTTTTGAATCAATAGAAAAACATAATGTTCAATGTAATAAGGTTGCTCAATTTACAGTAGTTTCAGATTTGAATGAAAGCCACATATATTTAATCTGTGATGGATGTATGGATATGCAATTAGTACTTTAAATGTGGAAGTTGCCTCAAACAAAAATATACTTTTGAAACCTAATATGTAGAAAAACATCAAATTTATACTGTTTTTTCATTATTAGATTTATAAAAATTTTACAATTATATTATTATACCTAATTGTATAAGGAAAAATACTATGTTGAAACTCATAAAATAAGTTACTAATGATGGTAAGTGGTTACTGCAGCCCATAGACATTGCCAACCAAGTTCAAACAAAAAAGGCTACAGAGGCCTTGACACGTCTGAAGACTAAGAACAAATGGCTCAGAGTCTGTAATTAAGCTGACTCTATACCCTTCAAACTGGAACACAGTTATGAATGCACGGTTGTTAATTGCTAGAAATAGGCAAGAGGATAGTAACTACCTACAAGAACAAGGCAGAAAAAGAGTCCAGACTTATATTTCCACATTTGACATTTTTTAATACAATTTATATTTAAAAAAGAAGATAACTCGGGAGAGCAAATTTTAAATTATACGTGGTAGAGCCATGCTGCAGTTATATTAGTGGTATAGTTGTAGCACAAATGAGTCGGCTCGACCGAGGAGGACCACGCTCTCACAGAATACCAGCGTAAAATAGTTGCTTAATGCTACTGTGTTTCGTATGGTGAGTGTAGAGAACCGGAGACCCTTTTTACTGGAGACTAGGCATTCCATCTTAGTCCTCACGGGTGACAACGCATCTGCATTTTGATTTGTGATCGGGGATAGATGTAAATGTCTATGGGCCACAGCAACCACTTATCATCAGGTGACCTGTGTGCTCGTTTGTCAGCCTATCCTATATAAAAAGAGCAGTAGCTATGCGCTTAGGGATGCACTGCGGGTCACGAGCTCGAATCTCGCACGAAACAATATTTGAATGTTCTACAAATATTTTTTCCGGATTTCTCAATGTTTGCCCATGTACAATTTAGTATGTGAAACACATCTATGATATAGGTAAAACGTAAGCCTATAACTAAACTAAATAATAATGATTGATCTCACTTGGCACCTTGGTTTTGTATTCAGTGCATTTGTTATATTATTGTCATTGTACAAACAATATTTTTATTTTTGTTTTAGAGTTGTTATTATCAAAATATTTTCTAGGCATATGCAAGATAAAAAGTTCTCTAACATGGTACCGACGTGTACAAATTCAGATATTAAAAAAATATGTCTTTGTGTAATACTTTATACTAAGTTATAGGTGGAGTAATGTGGCTATTTACATTTGTGAACTTCAACTATCCATTTTATTTTTCCTAGATGGCTTCATATATACATGGTTATTTTGCAATAACTGGCCAAATTTGCAGAGATGGTTCAAAATAAGTATTAAAGACATATGGTAAAGAAATATTAATTAAAAAGAATCTTAAACATTCTGTCCTTTTGAAATTCGAAATGCGTGGTGATGCATTATTTTAACTGGTTTTACTGCGCACGCATACATTCGTAAGGGTCGATCGGTAGGCAATAAACGCATAAAGGCATAAATTACATTTAATTTAGGATAATTTTAAATAAAATTAGAAGCCTTATTTACTCGTATTTTCAAAAGTGCAATAACGGTATGTCATTATTTATATATTTGAACTTAAGTTTAAAATTTGGCTACTCTTTGAAAAATAACCCTGTATGAATTTGCTATGGCTAAAAGCAGAAGTGCTGATATCTAGGTTTACCTACAACTAGGTGCAATCAAATGTGGTTGGTTAAAATTTAGGTGTATATACGATTTCTTTATACTTAGTGTTTACGGGTAATCTCTATATATAAAAAAAATCAATTGCTGTGCGTTAAGAGACGCAATAACTCGAAAATGGCGACAGATTTGATGAAATTTGTTGTGTTTGAGTGGGTCCCTAGATGGTTTCAATTTATAATTGGACCTGGTAGATGGCGTTGTTGTCGAGATCCAGAAATCACACGTGCGAAGTGGGAGCGCATCTCTAGTGCTAGAATAATATGTCCGCGGCTTTCTAGCCGCACCTTAAGTTAATATCGCTTTTAATATATTTTTTACCAGGTTAATAGAATTAGAAGTCATAAGGTCAGGCGGGGCAAGCACGCCATATTTTTTGCATAGATGATTTCGATGCAAAATATTTTTTTAATTTTAAAATTTATTAAATTGTGAATATTTGGAATGTTGTAGCTGCAATAAACGTTGATTCAAACAAATGTCAAATCAAAAATTTCTACTAAATTGGAAAACATGGATATAGGCGCACTTGCCCCGTTTCCCGCAAGTGGTGGGCAAGTGTATAATATTTAAAAAAAAAACACTAAAATCGTACGTTACCAGAAAAACAGAAAATTCACTTAATATAATAAAACATAAACAAATAAGCTACTGCAGCTTCCATAACAAATTTAAGGCAAGTGCGCCATAGACTAGTAATCAGGGGTTCTAAACCTTTTATTCTGTTTTTTATAAAAAGTAAAAACTGTATTTAAATAAAAATGTTCGCAGGTTTGGCTGCAAAAATAGATATCTTTAATTAATGAAACTAGACTTTTATTTTATGCATTTCGCCTATTTATAAAAAAAATACCAAAGTAGGTAACTTACTTACTTATCTTCACGCACAATCCCTAACGGGTAGTCAGAGAGAACAGATCGCCAAGTGTCACGATCTTTACATACATCTTTCGCTTCTTTCAAGTTCATTAACTTCTTCATACATGCACGTCTAGGTATCCGAGTACTCTTGACCTTCCCAGCTTCGAGCAAATTGCTCACATGGTCTTCGAAAGTTAGTCTCGGTCTACCTCGACACCTTTTAATATTTACTTTCGCTCTATATATTTTCTTCAGTATTCGGTCTTCACTCATTCGCTCAACGTGCCCAAACCATTGGAGTACGCCCCTATCAATTTTTGTGATAAGGTCATCTTTCAATCCTGCCATATTACGAATCTCTTCGTTTCAATTTCGATCGGCTATGGTAACGCCACACATTTTACGAAGAGATCGCATCTCCACTGCATTCAACTTGCTTTTATGATTCTTTTGGCATACCCAGGTTTCGCTGCCATATAACAAAGTCGGTACCAACACTGCGTTATGTATTGCAAGGCGTGCACTCTTCACCACGCCTTGCCTTTTGACTAATGCATTCAGGGCACCATTGACTTTGTTTCCGGCAGCGACACGCCTATCCACATCTAAATCACATCTTCCATCCCGGCTGAAAGCACTCCCCAAGTATACAATTTCATTTACCTGTTCTACTCATTCCTGATTTACCCATATTTCACATTTCGTTCTCTCTTCGTCCTTTTCAAATACCAGAACCTTAGTTTTATTAGCATTCAAACGGAGACCTTTAATTTCACATTCCTCTTTCATACACGTGACAAATGCCTGCAGTTCTGCTTCTGATGGTGCAATAAGCACTGCATCATCAGCATATAGCAGACAATTTACTTTAATGTCACCCAATTTACAGCTTCTGTAAACAGCTGTCGAGATACAGTATGAACAGCCAGGAAGACATGATACAACCCTGTTTTACGCCCGCTTGGACGCTAAACATGGGTGACAGGTCATGCCCTACCCGCACACAGGCTTTACAGTCATAGTAAAGTGACTGCACAGCTCTTAATCGACCATCCACACCATATCCCAAAGTAGGTAACAATTTCTATTTGATGCGTATATTACGCAAATACTTCGTAATCTAGTGAATGGTGCGCAAGAACATACATGGTAAAGTAGAAAACATTTCAGTCTTTGTTAGGCTTAAATATTTAAACAATTTTACGCGTTAAGATCATGCAAAAATAACACAAAAAAAACATGCGTGCAGCTCACACGGGACGGAAGTGAAACCTTCAAATGAAACGAAATATAAGTTACAAATACTTTACGGTAAACGATTTATTAACCCTTAAATGCATTGTGATGGAAATTTCCATCAAAAAATTCAATGCCATTCTTTCGTTTTCACAGAGTACGGATACCGTATATTTTGTACATCGTAACTTTTAACGTAACAGTAGTGATATTTTCGAATGAAAAAAAGAAGTTTATTCTTTAAATTTCAGCTGACTCAGTAAAAATCACGCCTATGAAGTCCTGAATTTCTTAGTAGTACAGACTACAGACAGTACCTGTCAATGCCATACTTTATGGGCATGCACTAATTAGGTCGGCATGCCCATAAAGTATGACATTGACAGGTACTGTCTGTAGCGTAGACAGAGAATGCTATAGACAAAGTGATATCTTTTATCGCAGTCACACAAGAGAAAGAGCAACTTACGCCGATGTCGTGTAAAGAAATGAGAAAGAACGATGAGATTTTTTGTTTCGCTTAGCGTGTCGCCATTTTTAATATTTAGCAAACCACTTTGCTAAATAAAGTTTGACAGCTAACGTGTAGCGTGATAAATTCTTTGTATAAAATACTGTTTTATGTGTTTTATGATAAGTATTTCATATTATATTTTGTTGTGAACAATTAAGACGTAGTATTCCAACCATTTTTATTTAAAACATGGTGCGGTGTAGTGTATTAGGGTGTAAAAGTGATAGTGAAAGGAAAATGGCGGGGTTGTCTTTTCATTCGTAAGTATACCATACTATCGGTTACTAGGCAGTCTGTAACATTTAATAAAATACATACATTGTGTATAATGTACTCTAGACGTAATTTTATCGCTAAAAAGTACAAAAATAACAATTGCAAATTTTAACCTAAAATCTTCGGTGTGGCCAACTTTTCTATAAGTTATTACCCACTATTATAGGAAATAATAATATCTGCGTACCGAAGGTGTATTATCCTAAGTACATTTTTTTCAACATTCACTTTGTAATGTCATTGAAACAAAAAAAATACCGATCTACTTGGTGGTAAAGTATTTTTAAGTCCAACTAAAAAACTACATGCTTTCGAAC